CCCCCTACGTCTCTGAATTCTGGGCACCACAATTCAAGAAAGATGTTTCAAGCTGAAGTGAGTCCAGAGGAAAGTGACCAAACTGGTGAAAGATCTGGAAACCACCAAACCCTATGAGGAGAGGCTAAGAGAACTGGGTATGTTTAGCTTGGAGAAGAGAAGATTAAGGGGCAACATGAGAGCTATGTTTAAATATTTGAAAGGATGTATGTGGACAAAAGAGCAAGCTTGTTTTCTGCTGCTCCAAAGACTTTGACACAGAGCAATGGATTCAAATTACAGGAAAAGAGATTCAACCTAAACCTTGTAGCATCTTTGAGACAAAATGAAGTTGGCAGCATAGGCTCCCATAGACTTCAATGTACTTCCACACTAGATGCACTTCAATGGATGCACACTGAAGTCTATGAAAACTCATGCTGCCAACTTCTTTTTTTGTTAGTATCAAAGGTGCTACAAGATCTCTCTACATACAGTAGAAGGATCAGTGATGTAAATATAACCAACAGAAGCTTTTTAGTGTAATGGTATGTAAATGCCCCTTTTCACCAGCTTTCTCATCTTTGGTGGAATCATGAGGAAAGCAATCAGACCTTTTGTCATGGATGCAGCAGTTGTGATTTTTGAATAGAGCAACCCAGTAACTAGCTCAGAATCTCCTTTGCTTCACAGCTAAGATGGTTCTCATACTGCTTGCATAATCCTGCACTGAATTTTCACCAGAGCTGAGTTGTACTTTACCTGGATACTTTCTTACCTGAGTTTGTACCAGTATTTTTCCCTCCAATGGTGATGCTCAATGCAGTGGTAATCCCTCCAATGGTAACACTCCTCCTCCCCGATTCCCCATTGGAGTCTGATTCCCTACTATTTGCTATTTGCCCTACTCTTTCTTGTTTCTGTTCTTTTTCCTCCTCCACCTGCAGTCCCATGCCTTACATCCAGGTGGGGAAAGTGCAGCTCAGAAGCTCCTTGAATGTTGCCACACTGCAGAAATAATGCAGTTTGATGTCTCTTTAAACTGTCTTGGCTCCATTGTATGAAATCCTGTGATATGTTGTGGCACCACAGCTCTCTGATAGTGATGGCTTCACAAAACTACAAATTCAGAATTTGATAGCATGGCAGTTAGTGGTGTAAAACTGCATTAATTCCGCAGTGCAGATGCTGTTCTTGTGGCTCCCTTAGGATTAGTTTTGAGCATCCCAGGGTCCGTGCAATTTTTGAGGTTTTGTTGACATTTTGTTCCAAAATGCCTTTAAGGGGGCATCATACATTTCACAGATGAAAATCAGAGCAAGTGTGTGATCAATCTTTCAATCAGTTCAATTTTTTTTGTAAAACAAAACAAAACAAAAGCACACAAAAAACACCATTTTTGAAGGAGGTGTACCATTCCTAGGTGACAAAACTGGTTCCCAGGTCCATTCAGTTGCCCTTCATCTGACACATACAAAAATGGCCTTATACCACACCATTCAATATGTCACACATAGAATCAGAACACTGTAGCCAAACAAGTGTGGTCAATTGCATGTTAGTATGATGTTGTGGTCCAGATGGCCAAAATGATTAATGAGGACACTAGCTTGAAAATGCTGGAGCAGTTTGCTTTTGCATGACTCTTCAGGGAAAAGCAAGAGTCTGCCCCTCTCCTCTCCCTCCTACTGAGTTAACTGCAAGAAAACTACTTTTGTGCTCTGAACCCAGCTTGAACCAATTGAAGCAAGCTGCAAAAAGGGGGAAAAGTCAATGGAGAGAAGCAGTTTTAAAGCTACAATTTTCAGCTGTTAGTGTTAAAGGCGACAAATTAGTGCACCAATTTTGGTTAAGAATTTTTCAAATCTAGCATTCCAGGTTTCACCCCTTTTGCCCCAAATGAATATCATCTTGATGCCCAGTGATTGATCATTTCCCCTTCATGATTCAGTTTGTGTTTTATAGGCAGTTGTTTTCAAAACTTCATGATTTTGAGAGCCACTCCTCATGTCCAATGATGCTGGCATTTACCATGCCATATGCTGGTATTTGGTGCAGTGAACATGTAAAGAATAAAAAGAAGAAACATATTTGGAAATACTCACAGACGCACAATGGATGGTAGCCAGAAAACTGCAACTGGCTACAATTCTCTGGCCGCTCTGAGCTGCTACACACCTAAACTTAATTCATTTGCTATAGGGTTGCCATTTAAGGATTGTACCAGGCAATTTAGCCATAAAGAGAGTATGTGTGAGAGAATATATTCTCCTGTGTGAACAAAAATATTAACTAAAGGGGTTGGTCTGAGATGAAAATGAAATGAGGGGAACATTCCTTCTTACTTAAAGATATGGGATAAAGAATATTTAACCTAGCCTTTTTATACCTAGCAAGAAGGTTGATGCAGAGCAGAGGGTGACTGGGAAAGAAGGATGATGGTAACTACTACATAGACCTTCTGGAGAGTCTTTGCAAATTTCAACAGTCAATCAATCAAGCCTTGCCAATTGTTGGAAGGCATCATACTCCTAGATGAGCTGGAGATCTATACACAAACCTTTCCTCTTGCCTGGAGCTGAGCCTACCATAACTGGAAATTTGCATCCTTGTTTTCTGCCTGGAGATGACTCATAAAAATGGGAGATTTAGACCCAGGGCCTGGTATCTGGCAACCTTAGTGCTATAGCAAATATCTGTGAAACCTACAATAACTCAAGTGGAAATCAGTTGTGCAATTTGATATCATTGTTCACCTAATGCTGATGTGACATTCCATATGTGTGTGTGTATGTATGTATGTATGTATATGATGCTTTACTGGCATCAAGAAAGACAAGAGAGCTTGGTCTCACATACTGCTTTTTGGGAGTGCTAGGGAGCAAGATTAAACATATATATATATATATATATATATATATATATATATATGGGGAATATCTGTTTTCCTACAGGTTGAAAGCAATGGATAGCAAAGTGTGGAGAGATCTTGTTACAACATTTGCAGTTTTTGTTTTGCATCTGGTTAATTCTGGATACCTGTGATGAATGTAGGCCTGCTACTATATTTGCATACATTGCATCAGACCCTTGCTCACTGTGTTGCTGTTCAGTAGGCACTAAATAAGGTTTCTCAGTCCAAACACAAAAATTGTTCAAATACAAGAATGGAGGCCAGTAGCCAAATAATTATGCCAGGAAATCTAGGAAGTGTTTTGGAAGGCTATTGTTTTAGGGGTTGAGGCTAATGGTGGGTTATTTGCAGAAGATGGCATGTAGACCAACTGTGGAGAAATCTTGATGAAATATGCCATGAAATAAGAAACTAAGGAAAGCCACTCAAACCAAGTAGAAAGCAACATTCCATGATCATTCCTACCCAGGGATTTTAATTGTTCTACTGGAAACAAATACCCAGATTTCAAGTCACGTTCCCAGATGAGGTAAAGCCCTAACTGAGGCCTGAGAATGATTTTAAAAATATTTATATATCCTTAAAAAATCTTACCCCTTAGCCAAAAGGAATACTGGAGTGGCATAACACATCATCACATATGGTTGCATATCAGTGGGTTGGACTGGATGACCCTTGTGGGTCTCTTCCAACTTTATGATTCTATGATTCTAAGAATCAGCAAAAACAAGACAAAGGCCAGTGTCCTCCTGGTATTTTACACATATGTAAGTGTGGCGCAGTGGTTTGGGTGTTGGACTATGATTCTAGAGACCAAGGTTCAATTCCCAGCTTGGTCATGAAACCCACTGAGTGACCTTGGACAAGTCACATGTTCTCAGCCTCAGAGGAAGACAATGACAAACCTCTTCTGAACAAATCTTGTGAAGAAAACCCCATGATTTTTTTTTACAACATATAAAAACATGTTTTCTCACAATTTGGGGAGGGGGGAAAAGATATTTTTGAATATTGTTTCCATCTCTGTTTCCATCTCTACTCCTTTCCCCAGCAGCTGTCATGCCCTGCAGTGCTGTCATGACTATGGATTGGGGTTGGTGGTGTGGAGGTGAGCCACTGAAAAGTCAAGAAAGCAAACTCATTCCCCAACTGCAGAATGAGAACTGGGCACTGTATGTTTCCCACTCTTCTCTATCCGCTTCCTGTGGGCAATAACAATTGTGGCAACATCCTTGGAGAGTATTATTCTCCACTCCCTCTAATGCAGGCTATCAGTAAAGGCAAGTACTCTGTCTTGTTCTGAATCTCTCCTCAAGGGACAGATTTCTGGAAATGTACCATTTTTGTAGTCCTTGCAGATATTGTCAACTATAAATTGGTTTCTAAAAAAACATATTATATGGGGTCAGCCCTGACGTTAGGCAAAACTGGACTTCTGATTGGAGTCTCATGAAGGTGCAACAAGCAGGGATGATTGATTGATTGATTGGATTTATGGCCTGCGTGGTGTTACCCAAAGTCCCCTTCATATCCAAAAATATGAAAAACCCCATATGCTACCCATGGTTCCCCTGCTATCAAAAATATGAAATTCCATGATGACCTCCAGATGAACTCTGGCAGTGGAATTGGAGGCAAAAAGTCCTCTGCGCCCAGGGCTTGGGCAGACCACCCTTAATCTTTAATTCACACAATAGCCCCAGATAGTCTAGGAGAGTTGCGAATGGGATTTTCCCTTATGAGATCATCTAGCCCATCGGAAGGTGTATTGTGTCACCCAGTCACAAGCACCCTCAGCCATCAAAGGTGTAATGTCTGTATTGTGCCACCCAGTCTCACACTCCCCCACCCACCAGAAGGTGCATTGTGTCACCTACTCACACATTCCCCCAGGATATTGGCCCCTCCGATTAAGACCACCAAATACAGTGGAACCCTATACAGCAGGGTGCCATCATTGCAATTATCACCCTTCACCCCAAGGCCCGTTTGGCCCTATATAAGCCCCAGATTTTGGCCAGTTGGTGTGCTATCTTCTTGGTCTAAATGACTCCACGTCACTCTGACCTCTGAAGCTAGTTACCGGCAAGTCAGCTCGAACCCAGGCTGCAGAGCTAGACTTGTCTCCCACCATCCCGCATCCCCATTTGTTTTCCGGAGGACATCTCGGTAAGCATCACCATTAGTAATGCCTGCATTTCTGTTCCAATCTCCAACCCTGATTTTCCTGAGCCTTGAGTGTGTGTGTGAGTGCATGTTCTGTGAGTGTGTTTCCCCTATTTCAATAAATTAGACATCTAGTGGTTAACCAACATTTGTCTCAGCTTCATTCCTTGGAACCCCCTGGTCTCTTGGTATAAACATTGGGAGGGCGATCTCATGGGGCTCTTGTAGCCAGCTCCTCTTGCAAATAATAATAACAACAATAATTCCCCTAAGGACTCTTGGCTACAGTGGGACCCAAGGCAAATTATGATTTTACTACGAGAGTAGGGAGAAATGTTTGTGTGATTCTTTTCTTCAGTTACATTCTTGATCTTGGATGTTCTGCCTCAGGCAGGATAATATAGCCAAGTTCATCCACCATACCTGTGTAGTGTAAATCTCTACTCACATAATTGAGGGGGTGTTGGTGACACTGAGATCACTGATGAGTACTTATCCAAGGATGTCCAGCTGCTTGTGCAACAGTGACACTTGACATACCCCACTTCCACAATTGTGATCTAAATGTAGATCTTAAGCAATACCAGAAAAAGTACAACCACATGCATAAGGGAACTTAAAACACCAATAGGATCACAACTGGTCTTGAGCTGGTCCTGATGCAACATTTAGAACTCTACAAAAGCCATTTATGCCTGACATCAAACATCATACAGCAATCTGTTTGAAAACTTTACTCTCAAAGACTGAAAGAATAAAACTATACTCTAGATCATCATACACAAAGTTGAATTCTTTGAATAAGCCAATAAGCTTGGCTGTAGCAAATATTTTACCGATTTATTGATTGTTGCAGTAATCTACGTAAGGAAGAGTCTGAATAAATCATTGCAGAAATCTGAATATATCTCAGGGCAAAATCAGAGTAATCAGCAAATTGCATAAATATTGAAGGAGCAACATAGAACCCATTGTATGCATTGTATCCAACCAAGGAAAAAAACATTTCTTTTTAATCAGCATTCCCTTCTGATGATGAACAGTCTCCATATTTAGAATCTGTTCCATTCTGATGTTTATTTCACATACATATAGAAGCATTCTCTGTACAGAAAAAGGTATATTACAGATATCTTTTGTTATCTTCTCCTGTTAATGAATTTCTTTTTCTGATGTTTAGCCACTTCTTTAGTTTTGGATTGGTCCATATTAATATTATGGAATGCGCTGAAGGACATACAGATATCATTATCTCTAAAAACAATGAAATTGTTGTATGATACAGGAAAAAGCCACTTACCATCAGTACCATATTAGTGATAAATAACATATACAAGAAGAGAGAGATCAATAATGGATTAATGACTTTGAGATGGAGTTGAGTGTTGAGGTCCTGAGTAGTGATGCCATTCTTTCTGAGGTTTCTCACATGCCTCCACAGAGAGGTGAGCAAAAGAAAGGATGCAGCTATATTTATGCTGAAATTTATGAAAGTAAAAGTAAACTGCAGAGGATGAAAAGTAACCCATATGTTGTTAACCTCACATTGGGAAGTGTTGCCTGTTGGTGTTACAGTCAGATTACATGGCGTTTTGTATCTGAAGTAACTGAAGACTGAAGGAAGAGAGGAGAGCATGAAAATGACCATGGATATGCCAAGCAGTCTGGGTAGAAGCTGGTTGATCCTTGCCTTTAGCCAAATGAAGAAAGGATTGGCAAAGTTGGTGACCTTCACACAGTAGAAGATACTGAGCCATGAAAGAGAGATGAGGCTGGACATGTTGAGAAAGATCCATAAAAAAATGATCACGTCTGACCTAAGGTCAGGAATATAGAAATACAAAAAATAGTGCACCAAAGAAATCAACTGTGTTTCTAATCTGGAGGTGCTCAAACAAGTCAAGAGAAAATCGCCAAGTAACATCTTCCTGTTCTGGAGCCCTTGCAGCACATTCACAATAGTGATAAATCCATTTGCTGAAAAAGAAATAATGAACACAATACCTATAATGATCCAAGAGATGATAAAAAAAGAAGGCATTTCCTCACTAGCCATGAATTCAATCTTTTGGGGGGAAAATTCTGAAAATATGTATTTGCTTCTTTCTGATGTCTAACAGAGAAAAACCTCACTGCCTGAGGCTTTTTAAAATGATCAAATCAGGTGACAAAGGAATGCAAATCACAGGAGGATTCTGTTACTAATGACCCAGCCAGGTATCATGTAACTTGGGATATTTTGAGACTTCAGGAATTAACTATTTTACAATTTTGTAATTTATAGCACTTGGATTGTGAGCTTCACAGTGCTGGGAGTTGATCAGATACATTATGATCTGCCTCAAGTCACTTCACAACTTGTTCCATTTTATTGCTTTTTCTCTTTGAAGTCCCATCTCTCCCCATTGTGGAAAAAGTGATGGAGTAAATTTCTGGATTTTAGAAGCAAGTGAATGGAGCAGGAACAAAATGCCTGGAAGGGAGGAATGGAATGGAATGGAATCGGGGGGAAGAAGGGAGATGGGAAGCTAGGCAGGAGACTTCAGGCATCCTTTCAGATTGACAGGCTCTTTAAAGCTGAATGCAGGGTTAGGATATATATTTGAGGGGATGCAGTGGCTCTGTTGATTGCAAGTTCGGTAGGTTGCCAGTTCGAGCTTGGGTGCTGCATGATGGGGTGAGCTCCTGTCACTAGTCCCAGCTTTTGCCAACCTAGCAGTTTGAAAGCATGCAAATGCAAGTAGATCAATAGGTACCACTTTGGTGGGAAGGTAAACAGCATTCTGTGCAATCATGCTGGCCACAGGATCACAAAATAGTCTCTGACAACACTGGCTCTTCAGCTTAGTAATGGAGATGAGCACCTCCCCTTATGGTTAGACATGACATGACAACCTTGTCAATGGGCAATACCTTTACCTTTATATATATTTTGCCTCTCTTTCTTTATTAGGGTGCACAGAAAATGCTGATGTTTCTCTGGATTGTAGGGAGAGCATTGTCGTTGTTGTTAACTACCCTAGATTCAGCTCCAACTCATGGCAACCCCATGAACCAGACATCTCCAAGACCCCCTATCCTCAACTGCTCTGTCCAGGTCCTGCAGTCTTAGAGCTGTGGCCTCCTTGATTAAGGCTGTCCACCTGCTATATCATCTTTCTCTTTTTCCTAGCATTATTGCTTTTTCTAGAGAATCCTGCCTCATCATGTGATGAAATGCAACAGCTTCAATTTAGTAATCTATGCTCTGGAAACCATGTCTTATGAGGAGAGACTTAGGAAGCTGGGTATGTTCAGTCTGGAGAAAAGAATTATTATTATTATTATTATTATTATTATTATTATTATTACTATTATTACTATTATCATTATCACCCTGCTCTTTTCCCAGAACTGGGATCCAGAGCGGCTCACAACATTAAAAGAACAATACAGTGAAAAACATAGAAAAATGATACATTAAAACAGAATTAAATTGTTACAATGTTAAAATATATTACTTATTAAAAGAATAAAAATACAGTTAAAAAGATAAAATATAAAACACTTAAAATGGTATAACACCATAAACTGGTCCTTTAAGAACATTCTGTTTTAAAAAGCCTGACTGCATAACCTGCCAGTGGAAGTCCAACAAGGAAAGGCCATTCTGGCCTTCCTGGGCAGGGAGTTC